TTTCCTGATGGATATAAATATAGAGTGTCAGATATGGTGTGTTGTGTTATTAGTTATCAATCATTCTATAGATTGGCAATTACAACTATTGCATGCTACGTAATTTAAGAGACAAGATGCGACATTTGAGTCGGCACTTGTAATGAAAATGATAATGACAAGGAAAGAGACGGAATATTGATGAAGAATGACTAGTAAAAACGGTCGATAAATCATCCAAAATATGATGTACACAGCGTTGCCCGCATACCCGCAAACGCACACGCATAAGCAAACACACACACACACACATATATATATATATATATATATATATATGTGTGTGTGTGTGTGTGTGTGTGTGTGTGTCTACTTGTACGCGCGCTCGTGTGTAGATATACATTTAATGGCTTGCGCAAGCGTGTTGGTTTTGGGTATATACTTGTATGCATTTAGAGTTGTCATCTACCACTGAGCATGCATACACTCGCAAAGACGCTCACTGACACAAATCCACGTACACACACATCAAGAGGTTGTATCAGAAATAGTTTAGGAAAAACAAGGAGAAAATTCCGTATAAACATATGTCCGCAAATCCTTCATTCTGGAGTCTGTCGAAGACATTCCAGGTATTACAGTATTTCAAGCGGACCCAGCATGTCTTACATCTCATAGAGCTTCATGGAGGGTACTATTTGTGATGTACGGTGGCCGTTAATAATCAAGTATAACTCAACACTTCAATGTTAAGATAAAACGGTATTTAATTAGAACCGCAAAAATACTTAACAAGAACAAAGAAGTAAAAGTCAACCAAAGATAATTAACCATTTCAGTGAATAACTTGTTAGTAGCGCGGCTCGGCTTAACCTCCGGTAAATCCTAAATCTAAAACCCCCATCATCAAGCAACAATAATTCACACTAATTCGACTGGATAGTTCCACTCAATAGTCAGTCAATAATCACTGTAGTCAGTAGCCTGGTACCGCGATTTATACACCTGGCGGAAAAACATATATTCTTAAGTCCAACGTATCAGGCTAGAACTTCGGTGTCTGTAGTTATTCATTTTATTCAGTAATATAACGGTACCTCAAGAGCAGCTCCTATATTCGCATCATTTGCAGGGGCTTTATTACGATCACACTTCCAGACCTGCTAGAAGATGTATTCCTGCTAATAGGAAGAAGCATGTGGTTTATATATGACGGGGCTCTATTACTTTTAATGACATTGTACGCAATTCCCTAGCTGACATGAAAGATGGATGGGTAGGTTAGGATGGGTCCCATGGCCTGCAGGTTTCCCCTACCTCATGCCTCTGTATTTTTATCTGTAGGGCCACCTAAAACAATTAGTTTATGCAGCAGACATTAATTATGCAGAGATGGTTCATCAACGCGTTACGGGGGCCTGTGTAGGATAATGCGTGAGTTTATTTGAAAAGGTCCGTCAGACAATGACCTGACGGGGGCATGCGTGTGTAGAAGCAAGTGGAGGCTACATTGAACATGAGGTTGCTCTGTTGAGGTAAAAACGATGGCCTATTGGAGATATGTTTAAATGTATATTTTACCTTGTTTTGGTTTCAGGAACAAGCCCCCAAGTCTTTTGACAGTATTTTTGATACACTCTGCATCTATCTATCTATCTATCTATCTATATATATATATATATATATATATATATATATATATATATATATATATATGGATGGATGTGTATTGTGTTGTTCTTCAGAAGTCATTATTTTTTCTATGTTTACGGATGCCTAAATCTCGCCAAATGTTCACAATTTTCTCCCCTGAATCAATACTTCAAATATACAAAACAACCATTTGCCCTTGCATGGAGTATTGCTGCCATATATGGGCTGGAGCACCATCTGCTTACCTCGGAGTTCTTGACAAGATCCAGAGAAGGATATGTAATCTAATTGTCCCTGATCTAGCGTCTTGTTTGCAGTTACTCTCTCACAGACGCGCCGTCGCCTCTCTCTGTCTTTTCTACAAATACTTCCATGGTAACTGCTCTGATGAGCTGCTCTCTCTGGTTCCCAAACTCCATGAATTCAAGCGCCCTACGAGGCTGGCATCCCGCTCTCACCCTTACACCGTAGAAACCTTCAAATGTAGCCGTCTCTTCTACTCCAATAGCTTCATACCTCGCACCTCTCGCCAGTGGAACACCCTCCCCAATTACTGTTTCCCTGAAAGCTATAATCTCCAACTATTCAAATGTAATGTCATATCGACATCTCCAATTACCTTGATCTACCCACTATCCTTCTCCTCTTCCTTTCTCCTATCACTCTTATCTGCTCTCGCTCCAAATCTTCCGCAACCCCCTGCATCCTAGTGGCTTCACGCCTTGCTTGGGGCACAATGCTTAATATATATATATATATATATATATATATATATATATATATATATATATATTACGTAGAATCACCGCTTTATCTACGATCAGCAAAGTAAAGCAACGTCAAGTCTGATCTGTACCTAGATGGCTGA